AAAATGTTTTTCAGAGTTGTAGTATTGTAGACAATATGCAGTGTAATTTCCTACAGCTTACTGTTTGTGCCTCAGTTTGCTTTTTTAAAATTTTAATTCTTTCAGATATATTTGGGAGTTTCAAGGGTAAATATGGAACTTCAACAATGCACCTAAACTGTTTAGATCTCCTAGATGTTTATCAGCCCTGCATAGCATGCTTTCCAACATTGGAGATTCTGTGAGTGGAGCCATGGCTCTGTTGGAGCATCAGACCTTGGGGGAACACAGCATAAGTCTCTAAATCCACAGGATTCTTCAATAACCTAGACCAAGTTTCACAGTCCAGGTCTTGATTCCCTTATCTGTAATATGAGATAGTAATTCCCCACTGCAGAGCATGTTGTTAGGTAAAAATGTTCATTTTGGGTGCATGGGTGTTACAGAAACAAGGCACGTGTAAAAATTAAGACTCAGGAAGCAGATGTGTTCAGAGCATAGCCCGGAGCTTGCAGTGGTGTCTGTGCTGGCAAACACTTCTGCAGTAGTAGTGTCTTTGGAAACATTTGGAAATCTGCATGCAAAGGTCAGTAGCTTGGTTTTAACTGGAAAATTGTGTAATTGTTCTACTTTTTGATAGATTTAGCTATTGATATCTTAGAACAACTTGAAACACCACCTTCCTGTTCAATGACCAAAATCCAGTTGGGACAGACCGTTGACTTCCACTGTTAAGATTTTTTGAAGACAATCATTAAGTAAAATAATTAGTTATCATTCTAGGAAGTTTCTGATCTTCCATTATAGCGGCAAGTTCCAAAAAGAGCTGAGTACAATACGTAATCTTTAATAGGGAGGAAGATCTGAGCTTCCAGTGTTTTCATCTCATGTGTCTATATTTTTTTTTTCCTTTGAAAGGGTAAAAAAAAACAACCCACCCCTTAATTCAGACACTTGAACACTCTCAGCAACTCCTCTGCATTAGTGCTTGCTCAGTCACTGAGCTCAAAATAGATTTGCTAGGGTGTTGCATGATCCACTATACTCATATTTAATAATTATAAGCTACCTTTGCTTTTCTTAAACAGCATGATGCCTCCTAAGAAGGTGTAGTATAATATCACAGTCTTCTGGAATAATGATCTTTTCTTACCTGGTGACATAAGACTGAATGTAAGCCTTGGCTTGCTCTAATGTATCACTCATCAGACCTCTCCTGAAAATTAAGCGAAGAATTGAAATGCCTGCTTGTGGTTTAACCCACAGCCGGCAACTAAGCACCACATACCCGCTCACTAACTCCCCCCCAGCGGTATGGGGAGAGAATCAGAAGGGTAAAAGTGCAAAAACTCATGGGTTGAGACAAAGACAGTTTAATAGGAAAAGCAAAAGCCACACATACAAGCAAATCAAAATAAGGAATTAAATCCCTACTTCCCATGGGCAGGCAGGTGTTCAGGCATCTCCAGGAAAGCAGGGCTCTGTCACACTTGACAGTTACTTGGGAAGACAAACACTAGAACTCCAAACATCCCGCCCTTCCTTCTTCTTTCCACAGCTTTTATTGCCGAGCATGACACCATGTGGTATGGGATATCCCTTTGGGCAGTTGGGGTTAGCTGTCCCGGCTGTGTCCCCTCCCAACTTCTTGTGCACCCCCCAGCCTGCACGCTGGTGGGGCAGCGAGAGAGGCAGAAAAGGTCTTGATGCTGTGCAAGCACTGCTCAGCAGTGACTACAATATCTGTGTGTTATCATCCCTGCTTTCAGCACAAATCCAAAACACAGCACCATGCAAGCTACTATGAAGAAAGGTAACTGTCTCAGCCAAGGCTGTACCTATAGCTCTGGATGTACTTTCCTGCGGCCACCACTGAATGGCTGTGTCGGGCTCTGTAGAGAAAAAGAATGGAGTAACTCAGTTACCTTCTCAGGATAGCCTGCAACGCTGCTTTTTTTCTGGGGAAAAAGTTAAAAAAAAATATTACAGAATGCAGAAGATCCATCCTAATGACTCCGACATCATTCTTCCCCACATGAGTAACAACCCAGACTTCAGACCACTCCTAGAACTCTTTTAATCTGCAGTCTGCTGTAATGCTGCCATGAACTTGCTTGTATCTGCCTTTTCTCGTGCCCTACTTGTACCCTACCAGAGAACACATTTTATTGGCATTTCATTGGTACTCTGTTGATCTTATTGATCTCATTTTGTATGTTCAGAGAAATCACAGCACCCTTTTATTTTATGACTGAAAAGTCATAAACAAGGATATTTTATTGATCTCTTAGCATAGGTGTCATAGTATTGCTTTGTGTTGCGATTTTAAGAAATCTGTTTTGTTGCATGTTGGATTTTTGGAGCTGTACGATAGGTGTCTAATAACAGAGAAGGAAGTGTTTACTCTGAAAGCAGTGGGAATTAGAGATGTTACTGAGATCTCATTAAGCTAAATCTTCTTTACATGTTATGTTTTAGAAAATCTTCGTGAGACCCAGGACGAAGGAGGAGGAACGCCTGTTGCTTTTGATGAGACAAGGATGATTACCAGAACCCACTGAAGCACTTTAGATTTGAGATAGTCTTAAGAATGCTTTTTAGCAGTAGGCAAACAGTGGGGTGCTCTGCAATATTTTGTATTACTTTGAGAATATGCAGAACATTATAGCCAGAATATACAGCAGGTTGTGAATTGTTCATGTGCATTGTATAAATTTGATTAAATCTTGCTGCTCGGAGCAGTTTATAGTCCTTGTTGTTAACCAAAGAAAATAAGATCCAGTTTTCATAAAATTAAATTCTGCCGTTGAGAAATAAACAGTGCACGTGTTGTAACAACAGAGAGGCCCCTTTGGCTGCTCTGTGGGTCAGTGTTTGTGTACTCACAACTCTCCTGTTGTACCCACTGAGGTGAAGGAAAGGGAGATCTCTGAAGGTGTGTCTGTTCTGTGGCATTAGTATGTCTGCCTGGGCTCTGCACAGGAGAACCTGCCACTGCAGGTGGTGGATGTTGGGATGTTAGTCTCTGCATATTTGACTGCCATACTGTAGAGCACTTGGATTGAACTGAGAAGTGAAGTGACACGGTATTTTAGTGAACTTTCTCAGAATAAATGCATCTTTTCCATCCTTACCTTCCGGTTCCTGGTCCTCATGTGCTGGGTGGTCAAGGATCAGCCTCCCATTTTTTGTTTTCATTTTTTCTTAAAATTGTTCCTATTTCATGGTAAAAATGAAGCAGACCTCGAACCTGCAATGATATATATGCTGTTGCAGATACTTTTTTTTCCTGTTTCTTTTCTTTTTAAACCTTCTCATAGGTAAATATGTAGTCATTTTTCTCAAGACTTCTAACGGTATTATAACTTGTGGTGTTACCTATGTTGTTTACAAGGACACCAAAGCAGTGCTTTGAGATTGCTCTGGGCTGAAGTTCAAATGTCGTCAACCTCTTCATAACAGAACTGTCTTACAGCAGGGGGGAGAAGTAAGGCTGCGATTCCTAGAAATGCGGTTAGGCAGTAAAATGCCACCAAAATAGACCCGGACTAAATGCTGAAAAGAGCTGTGCATGTAGAGAAGAGCTGCATTACACGGATGCAGTGCGTCAGTCCAAGCCCCTCTTTTCCAATAGCAATTCCATACCCATTCCTGAATGCTGTAGTCATGCAACTGATTCGTTTAACTTCATATTTTGTTCTCTTTTGATTTGTAAACCAAAACACTGTGGATAGGAAAAACTACATCCAATTTATTTTCAGCCGTGTTTCTACAAAATTACATAGCTTGAATGCCCGCGTACTTGATTGCTTGAAAGCTTTCATCTGTAGAGTTTAACCGTTTAATTTGCATGCTCTGGGGTGTTATTTTGTATGAATTTGGAATTCAGCTTTGAATGCACTGCATTATATTCACATTGGTTTTATTTTACGATCTATATATATTTTACTTCGGGTGCATCAAAAGTTTCTGTCAAAATATGTATTATAATTTTTTTTTAATTGCTTAAAGTATTCTTTCTATTTTCTGCTGGTTCCCGCCTGTGCATAAAATTCCTTTTGTTTTTGCGTGTGTGTGTGCACCGTTTTGAACTGAGGTGTGGATTTAGATGGCAGAGACTATAAAGAAGAGTTCTTGGCTTTCGTGGGGTTTTGTTTTGGATACACATGTTTTTTGCTTACTTTCTGCTTGTTTGCCCCTTTGCTGGCAGAACAGTTACAATGTTTCTCCCTCCTTTTTTTCTTGACACTGGAAAGCATAGGAATATGGAGTATGACGAAGGCATTACCTCTGCAATGTTCAAAAAAGCATCTTTTGTTCCTCTAGAAGTTTTGGAAGTCCTGCAGACTTCTGCCAGTCTGAAGAAATCCAGGACTTCTTACCTGGAGCTGTTGACAGCACATAGTTTAGGGGTGGCTTTGTTGGGTACCTGTTCTCTGGGGTTCCAAAGCAGACTTAAAACAAGGAGAAGAATTCCCCAAAACATTGGTGTGTTAATGGGAACAATCCTGTAATTCATGAGATTAGTGAATAGTGTAGTTTAAAAAAAAAATAATTAAAATCCCATCATGTTGTAGAACTTTGATTTTGTTCTGATATAAATGAGTTGCCGTTTAGCGAGGTACTGCAGAAGTAGACGGCTGCCTAATAGGGGGTTTATGCCTTGCAGCTTGGGGATTTCATACAAATAGATGAAGTCTTGGTTTCAGCAGCACAAAGTGACATTATATTAAGGGCAAATACATTGTTATTCTGGCAAAAGATGAATCGTATCAGTAAAATGTAACAACCTAAGAAAAAGTGGGGCCAGGTTCTTAGATAGAATAGGTGAAGGTATGCATATATTGAAGGGATGAGGGGGAAAAAGAGACAAATCCTTTGAACAGAGAGGGAAAGCTGCTCTTAAAAGGAAAAAAATTGTGTAAGCTTATTTCTTAAAAAAAAAAAACCAACCCAAAAAACCAAAACCCCAAACCAACTCTGCCCCACAAAAAAGAAACCCTTGTTTGCTTTTGTTTTAGAAAATCTAATGAGGCCCCTTAAGAACTATGGAATCGCATGGTGAGCATATGTTTTCATTTAAATCAACCTTCTTTACAGATGTAGTTGTTATTGTGCTGGAAAGCTTAAGTTTTTGCTTTGTTGTTTCAGCATGTCTATGGGTTTCTTGATAGAAGAGACTGCTCCGGTTGTGTGGAGAGGGCTCATGGTAATGTCAGCTGTTGAGAAATTGTTGAGACAGGTAAGGAGTTAGGTACATATTTGTGTTTCAAACTAATTGGTTATTTTAAAATGCACTTAACTGATATATGAGTGCCTGTGACATTATTTCATATATTAGTGTTGAATATTTTTTGTATCTTGATCTTAAATTCTTAAAAATGTAATCTTCAGTTAAGAAGGAAACTTGACACTTTTTACGTTTACCTATCCCCTTCAAATAGAGCTGTTTTTCCATGCATTTGATGAGTGAATCACCCCAATTTGCATTCCTTGTCATTCCTTTTTGTTTCTTTATGGGATTGTTAAAAAAAAAAGGCATTTTGGAGTTGCCTAAGGATTTGAATGTATAGATATCTATGCATATCTACAGCGGTATTCCCTTATGTGCTTGTTAATTCAGCAGCACTAAGAGTTCTTGGATGGCATTTGACATATGACAGGTACATGAAAATCATTAGATACCATCTCTGTGTAATGCAGATAGATTGTTAGTTAATAAATTTCCTGGCATATGGAAGCAGGACGGCTTTTTTATTTCTTGACAGATTTTTTTTTTCCTGTTATTGTGAATAGATCTGTGAAGTGCTAATGAGACAAACAGCTGAAAAAATGCATTAAGGTTGCATGTTTAGACTTTGAAGTGACCCAGATTGTTCACAACTAACATTCACTCCAGGGTTTTAATGTACACAACTTGGAGATCACTAGGTTTCTGTGCGTCTTCTGTAAATGCCTCCAAATCTTGTGCTCCCTTAATGACTGAAAAGATATTTTTTTTCCAGCCTTTTTCCATTTTTTTCTGAATTTTTCTCTAGCACAGACTTTAGAATAATGGCAATCGTTGCCCTAGTCAGAAAAGCCATGTGTCTGCCAAAATTTCGGGAAGAACATCTTTGCCTAGATTTGGCTTTAAAAATAAGGGTTGCCCATGCCAATAGCTGCGGAAGGCTGTTCTGACCTCTTTGTGTGTTGCATTGTGTTGCCCAGGCTCACAAAGACTGGAGCCTAAACCCTTGAAGGTAGAGCTAAAGTTAGCACCTGCCGTATTGGCATGCTCTACCCTGGGAGACTGAGGACTGGCAGGCGCTTCAGTGCCCTGACTTCAGTCGGTGGTATCCCCAGATGGGAAACATGTGCCAGCATCCTCGTGGAGGGTGCGGATGATGCCTTGTAATGAGCTCGTTGCTCCCTAGCAACCGACGAAGCAGTTACATGCTGGCCGATAATACTGCAGGAATGAGAGGGTCCATTAATGCTTGGGGCGTCAGGGATTTCCTTGACAGTGGAACCTGAATTCTGAAAGAGGAAGACTTTACAGCTCAAGTTCTTTTTCTCACAAGTATTTTGTTGCTGCGTTGTATTGGGTCTGGCTGAGGTGGAGTTAATTTTTCCCCATGGCAGCCCTCATACTGCTGTGCTTTGTATCGGTATCTACAAAGGTGTTGATAACAGACCAGTGTTTTGGGTACTGCTGAACAGTGCTAGCATAGCAGCAATGCTGTCTCCCCAACATTCCCCCCTCACCAGTAGGCTAGGGGTAGGCGAGATTTTGGGAGGGGACACAGCTGGGACAGCTGACCCAGAGTGACATATGCGTATCATATGATGTCTGAAATAAAATCTAAGAGAAATGGGGGGGGATTTGTTATTACGATGTTTGTCTTCCGGAGCAACTGCTATGCATACTGAAGCCCTGCTTCCCGGGAAGTGGCTGGGCATCACCTGCTGATGGGAAGTAGAGAATAAATCTTTTGTAATCCTTTGCTTCCACGGACAGCCTTTGCTTTTGCTTTATTAAACTGCCTTTATCTTGACCCATGAGTATTTTTTTTCCATCATATTTTTCTCCCCCCTCCTGTCCTGCTGAGGAAGGGAATGATAGAGCGGCTTGGTGGGCACCTGGCATCCAGGCAAGGTCAATCCATCACATGCATGATGACCAGAGTGGTCTTAAATGTGTGATTGAAAAAGCTGTTTGCATCTCCTCCTTCGAAGAAAGAAGCTTACAGATGACAGGGAGAACCAGCAGGTTCTATCTGATGCACAGGTGGTTTTTAGAAAATAACTAATAAATTTTCCAGACTAACACATGCTATTTTGTTTTTAAAAACTGTAATCTCCCTTCTGATGTAGTTACTAGTCAGTCTCAAGAAGGGATTAACTGTAGAACCAATAGTGTTATAGTGCTGGACACCTAAACAAGAGAGGACAACAGCATGTGATGATGTTTTTAAATAGGCTGTCATTCTATTTTATAGTAGAAATAGCTTTGTGATCTGTTGAGGGCTTTGAAATTTTCCCTTGTTTTCTCTTTATCTGTTCTGGTTGGTCTTAGCTATTATCTTCTGTTTGACAGGAAAAAGTTGCTTGCAAGAGTGAAATACTTCTGCTTATATTCAACTTTGTAAGACCATGTTCTTAAGAAGTATCTGCTTTACCTCTATAGCTATATATAAACCATCTAAATTTGCTCCCTAATTGAGCTTTATAGTATAATATAAATGTAAGGAGCTTGTGTGCATTCAGACAAGCTGATAAAATACTAAGTTCTTAAAATAATTAAGTCAGCCAGATAGAAAACACAAAGGTTACCAGACTTTTGCATTAAAAACGCTGGTGGTATTTTATAATGGTGTTTATTGTTAGATGGTGGAGGTTTTTTTTTTGTTTCTGTTTTTTTTTTTTTTTTTTTAAGAAGGCAAGGACTATGCATTCACTCTGTAAATAAATGGATGCATGTTCGTTTTTTTCCATATGTACAAATCTGTTTTCCAGAGTTTATCATGTTTCAGGTACTCCAATAAAGAACTGGAGGGTCTAGTTTCCATATTCATTAATGGGGACTTGTTAACCCATTAACTTGTTAACTCATAATTGATCTGTGCCTGTAATGAGTATTTAAGTGCTTGCAACTTATTTAAATGTCTGCAATTCTTACTTTGGAAAATACATTTGTTAAATATATATATTATCTGCTTTCTTCTATACTTACTGCATGTTACCTCACTCTTTGTAATACGTGTATAATTGTCTTTCTCTGGTTTTACTTCTTTGGTGGATGAATGGCTTTTCAGCACAGTCCAGAGTCTAACATCATTTTTGTCTCTTTTCGCTTCTACTTGCATACGGCCAGGATGTACATCACTTTTCAGATAAAACAGCACCTTTTAAATCCAGACTCTCCTTTTGCCGCATGTCTAGTCTGAGAAGTTACCTTTGTTCTTGTATGTTGTATGGTAGATAACAGGCAATAATATTGAAGACCAAAATTAGTGCTTGGTGTTTCTCTGGTAATCCGTATTTCATGAGCAAGGACAGTTTTCTGGAACACATCATACCATTTTCCTTATACAGAGTCTGAAGGAAATGTGCCGTATAGTACAAAATAGATTTAACAGTTTAGTATATTGTGTTACGTACGTTACATAGATGTTGATGTATGTGTATCAAATCAGTATGTAAATGAAAATATATAGCATATTGATTCTATAATGTGTCCTACTTTTAATAAAAGTATTGCTCAATAGAAAAGAAGGAAAGGGATGGTGATACATTACTGAAAGAACAAGAAATACGTAAGGAAATGATTTTTCACCTGTAGCGAAAGTGAATTATAAACAGTAATGGAATATTTGGTTCTATGTAAACATATTAATAACTCTTTCAATTAAATATATCTCAATTTTACGTGCCTTGAAATTATCCAAAGTTTTGTTGTGGCTGAGAAGTGACTTCTTTGTTCACATAATTAGATGTTCTGTAGGCCCATTTACACCACAGGGTGCTCTTTTTCTCCTATCTGGGTTTTAACTCTTCACATTTCCCTGCCAGTTATTTTCATGTACAAACTCTTTCACCTCTGTTAACACTTCCCTTGAATCTTGTTTGCCTGTAGGTGAGATAGAAGAGTGTATTTTTTTGTTTACTTGAGTTTTTTTTAAAGATGGTTCTTTTCTGTGAAGATATCGTTGAAGCCCAGGTAAGGACGTTTTGATAGTTTTCCCGTGTCATCTGTAGCACTAGGCTTTTCCTATTCGGTTTTCACTTAACATACACTTCAGGAGCTGCCTACTCTTTTGTGTAGTCTCATTCAGCACTTGTTCATTTACTTTGTGTGTCTTGACTCAGTGCTATGGTACTTGGTTCAGATTAAACAAGCTCCCTCAAAATGCATCGTCTTGGTGTATTTGCTGTGGGAGTGACTTCTGATTAACCTTTAGGCTAAGTACAGTAGAGATACAAATTTTTTTGAGAGCTACCTGAAGCCTTTACTTGAACAGTAATGTGTCTGAAAAGCTCTGCTCAAGTAAGAATGGAGTAGACAGCTAAGAACCTTAGAAATATAAAGGTTATTTGAAAAAAAAAAAAGGCAAGCAAAACTTGTTCGCTAGTTTAAACTGCGTTTGCAACAAGGATTTCAAATGGTCATCACCACTGTCCCATACAGTCTGTATGGTAAGCTTTCTAGCACCATCCTCACTTCTGTCTGAGGACATCTTGACAGTTCAATGGCAAAGGAGCAATTAGAAAGGTGCAGGCACAATTCTGAACTGACCCAGGAGCAGCATGACTGGCTGCTCTACATCCTGGAGTGTATTGTGGCAATTGTTCTGTCAAAAGGCTGAGGGAGAGGAAGCAGCACTGTGTTGCCTGCCCATTTAATGGCTGCTACAGTCATAGCAGCAATACAAATGGAGGGGTTTTCTTGTTTGGGGAGTAATTAGTAAAACTTTTAATATGAAGGATAGTAAGTGTTGGTTTCTGTGATCTTGAATTCTCTATCTTACTCTACATGCGTTATCAAGTTGAAATACTGGCAGAGAAGGAAAAAAATCAATATGCAGTGGAAAAATCAGCATTTATATTAAAAAAATCAAATAAAAAAATGGGACTACAGGTAAAATACAAAAGTGTATTTTAGCATGTTGTGTTCTCCTGGTATCTTTGTGTTGTGGTTTAACCCTAGCTGGCAGCTAAGACCATGGAGCTGCTCGCGCAGTTCTCCACCTTTCCTCAGAA